AGATAACACAGCTTGCTGAGACACCATTTGCAGGATACCTAGCTCTATCCTCTAGTCTACCTCTTGACTTACACCAACAGTGAGTTGCTGTCATCTGCTGCCTAGGAATGACTCCCAGGGCTCTCCCTCCCTTCAGCTTTCCTAGGGACATGGTGGTCCACAGCCATGTGGAGGCAATGGTTAAGAAGGCCTGCTGCCCTAGACAGTAGGTAGCGGAAGGGCTTTCTGTTGCTGCTGGACTTTATGACCACAGTGCAGCCAGGGCATCCCTTGACATGGATTGCCAGCAAGACGCCTTATGACATTGCTGAGTTCATGGAGTGACTCTACCCTTTGTTCTTCTACCTCCTTTGCTGGCTCTTTGAAGGAGAAAGGTGTGTCTGTAAAGTAACTCAATGAGGTCTCCTTCATGACATTTAGGGTACAAGTGCAGAAGCAACACAAGGTCAGCAATTATGCATTTGGAGCTGCTCCTGAGGCGTGTCAGTGAGACCCTGACTGCTGCTGTTCTGTTATAAACCCATCACAGTATTTAAAAGTTCCCAAGCCACAGTAACTTCAGAGCAATACCTTCCCAACGACAGAGTAGACTAAGATCTTCGGCTCAGTTTGGCCCTGAATCATCAGGGAATGCCTGCAAACCAGAACAAAGACCCGCTACTGCTCACTGCAGAGAAAGAAATGTCAGAGAGACATTTGAAGGGTCAGATTCACCAATGACAACAAGAACATGAGAGGATCAGGCCAGATGATCATACATTCAGATACATCACCAGCACTGCCAACTGCTTCAGAGAAAAGCAAGAAACCCTGCATAGGGAAAGTTAAAGAGGCCCATCATTTGGGGATTTATTTATGACACAGTTCACGTGTCAAAAACAGTGGGTTCATGTTTGTTACCCACCAAGAAATTAAGGTTGGTTTGTGCGTTTTTGTCTTACTTAGCTCCAGCCCTCAAAACCAGACTCAGGGAGGGCCACAGCTTCAGCCCCTGCATGGTCTGGGTGAACAGTGAGTCTGTTCTTTCATTCAGCCATCTTTCCACATCTTTCCCAATTCTTCAAGAGGCAAGAGACTGAAGAAGCATCGCTAGCCCTGCAGCTTTCACATTGCATGATTTATATCCACTCCAATGGGATCACAAGGCACAAAATGGGTTATTCCAGCTCTTGGGGTTTCATTCTTTGCTGCGAGGAACTTCCAAGCTTTTCTCTTACCGCTTCCTCTAATGGATTCCAGCACTCCACCAGAGGACTGGGCTGAACTGGCCTTGCAGGGCCATCTGTCCTGTCTCAATTATCCAGCAGTCTCCAGAAAAACAGCACAGCCCTTACATGGTGTAGCCCTGGAAAAGGGAGTCACGGGTTGGCTACCCAGCTCTATGGTACAAACACAGTGCCTGGCCCCTACACGTGCTTTCCAGTCTGGTATCACATCAAAGGCACCCTGCACTTTCTGCACTCATGCCACCACCCACCACGGCCTATTCAGTAGGACACTGTCCCCATCCTTTGAAAGATGGTGTGGCATGGGGTGTGGAGACTGCCAGATCTCTGCTACGCACCAGGGCTGCTTTACTTACTGCATAAGAGCAGTTTCTCCCAGTTCTGCCCTCTCGCACACCCGTGCCAGGTGTGAAAACCAGCTCAGACATTAAACCCCACTGCTCAGCTCTAGCAGCGTGGAAAAATAAAATCACTGGCCGATCAGCCAAACAAGCAGGTGGGAGTGGTATGGACAGAGGCAGGAGAGACAAGGTACTAAACCTGCCCAGTGCTCCCAAGCGCCTCGTTATACTGATTTATGTTTAGCTAATTGAGAAAATGACTCTAACTACACAATCCAGGCCCTAATTCAGAAAGGCCCGAGCTTTTTAGTGTCTCTACCTGTGTCTTAAAAGGCATGATTTAAACCCTGTAACTAACAGGCTGCCAAAGGCAAGGATTTGAAGGATCTGATGTCCTATCATGCTGAGGGGGTGAGGCTTGGCTAACTTCTCTCGTTACTTGGTCTTTCCCCACTGACATACAAGTTTGCTGCTGAGACATAAATCAGGGGAAATGATGAAGGAAACCAGTCTCGTGCCCCATCAAAGGAGCCAACACTCGCTTTAATAGGACCATGCAGACAAGCCTAAATAGGGCACTTAACAAGCATGTGGTTTCTATTATACCAGCCCACATCTCTACACCCTGTTTGCATTGCCACTGGCAAAACCCTTTGTCCCTTTCACACCACACCTGCTTATGTCCACAGAATTAGAAAAGGTACCACCACATAATACCAAAGTGTTGAACGTATGATTGGATCAGGCCTGCAGAAAAATTGTATCTAGCTCTCAGCAACATACACAGCTATGGCTCCGCACAAGAGTGGAGCACACAGACCCAAGATGCTATGTCTACAGAGAATCTCATGAAAGTACCAAACTTAGTCCAGGATCAACAGCTGCTCAAAGATTCTACATAAGGGGCATCTGGTAAAGTACCAGGCCTCAGGTTGGGACAGTTCACATCAAAGGGGTGTTGATTCACTTTTGAACCTTGAGAAAAGGGCGTTAGGAACAGAAAATCTATTGATCCTACTGTCCCAAGCAGAAAATGCAGAACAGAGTAAATCTCAGTGTGGGACAAAATTCAGTAGTGCTCTGCCCCTTTCTTTGGCTCCAGAACTTCCCCCGAGCAGGCTAACTTTCCCATACACAATCCTTTCTAGCATGTTCTTAATAAAGCTGGTCAGGAAACACAGTGCCCCCGACCATGAGGCCAGTCACTACTTTTTGCTCTTACTAGTTTTTCCTCATTCTGTTTAGATGGGATATAGGCTCGAAGGGAAGACTCCACTGCATCGCAGAAGGTATTAAGAAGAAGAATGGCTGATGGAGAACTTGAGTCTCTCTGCAGACAGCTACCTTAAGCTGAAGCCTCTTGAGAGCCCAACTTCAGCTGGCTGGACACACAATCAGACTGGGGGTTGTCCAAGTGTTAGACATCCATGGGAACCCCAGGCTGAGCCATGACCATCTGTGCTCATTTAAACATTTCTTGACAGAGGAGGGAGCGTTAATCCCCACATCCTGGCCAAACTGCAACATGGGCAATCATATTGTGCTTTGTAACATTCTCACAGTGGTATGTGTCAGTGTTTTCCACTTCTTTGCTTAATGGTAATGCGGTGGCAAAACACAGAAAGGGCTACATTGCCACAGGAGAATGCAAGCCCCCTGTGATGAGCCCTGCAGTGTTACTGTCTCATTATCACAGATGGCTCTATTTTTCCTGCTTAAGGGTGTTCAACCCCAGCACACTTCACATTCAGGTTTCTACCTGCAAGAGGCCTTCACTTAAAAATCTGCCCACCCATTCCTGATCTATGCTGAACTTTCCATTTTTCCATTTCTCTGAAGAGACGCAACACACCAGGTGAGTGGGCAGCCTTCACCTGCACCTGCCTTCAGTGCAGCCCAGAGACAGCAGAGCCAAGTGTTGTAAGATGCATCAGCTACTACAAAGGTAGAAATGGCTTTTGTCTGAAGAGCCTCAATTCCAACTGTTCCCTTTCCTCCAAGGAAAAACAAGGAAAAAAAAAAAAACCAACCCTTTTGTTGCACCAAAATCATCTCCTGGCATTTCTGACCAGCGCACATGTTGTTACAATTATGACTGGACTGCTTGGCTCCGGCATAGGGGGAATGTTAAACCGGCACACTGGCACCCATCAAAACATTTGTGAACTTCCAAAGTGGAACTGACACCATGGTAGTGGTTTATATCACACGTCAGAGAAAGGCTTCATAACTCAGATCAAACAATTTAACTCCTGAGCTCCCTGTCTAAAAGAGAGCGACCAAATGCTAGGCTGCCTATTGTTGTTTAATATGGCTGTTTCATGTGGCTTCCAGCCAGTTCACTTCATTTTGCAAGCTCAGAAGTTAAGGACAGATAGAACTGGCCAGAACTTCGACGAGGAACTTCTAAGAGAATAGAAACTGCTGATTCTAACAATAGAGTTTTCTCTGTCAGGCAGAAACAGCGCCAGCGCTATCGGGATGGCACACAAGAATTTTTCAGCTTTTAAGTAATTTTGTTGGATATAAACTTCTTCCCTGCTAAGGGAGCTCATATTCTTAAGCAGTTGTCAAAAAGATCCTTGGACTTAGAATTTTTTCCCTTTTTTTGGCTTGAGGAGTTCAAACAATAATCTTATCCATAACAACAAGGTGCAATCAGTAGGACTATTTCAACCACATTTTAGCCTACTAGGGAACCACAAATTATATGCAAAATGGTATGCATGTGCTTCCTGTAAATACCATTACAATTTAACTCCTCTGTCAGATGCTTTTCTGTATGTCCCCCAATGAGCTGAATACAACTTTAATGAGGAACAGACCTATCCACTAGGACTTAGATTCTCTTGAGGAGCAACTGGGGACAGCTGCAGAGGATGGAAACAAGAGTGGTACAATTAAATTAATACTGCACTTACTGGTATCCAGTTTTGAAAACCATAATCAGGTTGCTACAAGCTGTTCTGCAACTCCAGGCAGAGCAAAGGAAGTCAGTCACAATTTTCTCACAATACAATCAAATCTTCAGCTTTTAGGCCAGGTCTTCCAGCAAAATAACAGGGAACACAGTGTATCAGCAACAACAGAGCAATGCTTCATGCGTATGCCAAATGTTACATTAGAGTTTTCTAACTTCAATCAGCCCTAATTATGAGTGGCTTCACTAGGAAACAGCTTTATCCCTCTCTCTCCTGCGTATGAGAGGCATCAGTAGAGATTTTCCACTGCTGCCTTGGGCCACGGTTAGTTGAAAAGATTCCTGCCATGTCTTTGCTTCGTAAGTTTTCATATTTTGGAACAGTCTTTTTCGAGGTTTTACTTTCACACAGCGGAAAGTTGCCAAAGTTGTCATTTATCACCTCCTGTGGAAAAACAGTCTTGGATACGTGTATTAGTATCAGATATCATAACTGAAAGTAAACACACGGCGTAGAAGATGCACTGATTTATTAACAGAATAAAAATGAAATGTAGTGACATGTTTTTCCACTATTAAAGCCATAGAGACACTCAGGGTCCCATTTATATACGCGATGGCGTCATTCAGTAACTCGTTCATACACTGACACGTTCAGGGCAGGTATTACAGAAACCATTTCCACAATGAAAGCAGCCTTCCTCTGTTCCAAAGCAGACAGCCACGAACACTGTCCCCACGGTTTGCAGCTGCATCGTTCCATGGGAGGTTTTCCTTCGTCCTCTAGTTTAATTCCCGAGACTTTCTCCACCTGGAACAGCTTTTTAAAGCCTTTCAACAGCACCAGAGCAAAAGAGCTGAACTTCTTGTGGGGTACAAACCCACTCTTCAGGCAAGAAAATGCACTGACTATTATATGAAAATGGGCTCACTTCCAATATACAGTGGGGATCACTCATTACAAGATCCCTGGCTAATTACTGGAACTTTGAGGCAACTCCATCAGAGAAAAATGTTTGTAATGGAACAGCTTTAATTCTAACACAGTCTCTTTTGTGTGTTTCTACTTCTACAGCATACCTTCCGCAATGTAACCTACAATTTTTGTTAAATCATAGCTGCTGTGATTTCATAGATAATAATGTTATTAATATATAGCTTTGTGTGATCTTGCATGATCTGGAAGAAATAGGCAAAGTGATAAATAGGATATATTACAAGTGACTTTGCAATTTGCCTGAATAGGCGAATTTCCTTTAAATCAGGTACAGGAAAGAATATCGGCTACGAAGATAATTGAAGTAAGCACTTGGGTTTCATAGGATTAAAAACCATTGAAAACTAATGCCTTACGGATGCAAAGTAAGACAAACATCCTATCGCAGTTGTCAGGGGACAGAACGTGTTCAGAAGCAGAATAACCTGTGGTGTTTCCTCCTGCAGATATGTATCTCTTGCCCACTGCTTGGAACACGTATCTGCGATATCAATACACTGAAAGCCTTTGGAAAAACCCTACTGTTCTCTTCCAAGTATCCTGTTTCAGGAAGGTACAAAGCCCCGGGAAGAGCTGGGCATTAGAACATGAACTTAAACCAGAATGATGAAGACAGATGGTGACCCCCAAATGAGAGTCTTGTGAAAAAAAAAGAGCCTCTAAAATTTGAAAACAATATTAAGAGAAAAGAGAAATGAAGTGCATATTAATGGCACGGCAGAAACCCAGACAAAGCACACAAGCCCACAGAGTATATCGTCCATAACCGGTTGGCTTATGTGAAGATGGTAGTCATGTCTCAGAACAGGCTGGAGAGTTTCCTGGAGCCACACTTACTCCTTGAGTTTGGCTGTCCATATTGGAGAGGGATTTGGTACCAGAGGTTTCAGATGGAACCAACTGTTCAGAAATGGCAGGAGAAGTGGCAGCACGGTTAGCATGCTCATCCTCCCGTGCCGTAACACCGGGAGCGGGGTTTTCCTTCGCCATCCCAGCGTGATTGTGTGACTGGCTGGCTTGTCTCCCTGCTTCTGCCTCCTGCTGCTGCAGTATCCGCTCCACCTCTATCTCAAGTTCCAGATTTTCCTCATCTGCCTCCACTTCCAGCTGCTGCATTAACTCCTCCAGCTTCCTGGCCTTGCGGAGTTCATTCTGCTGAATGATCGTGCAGAGGTGCTCCGTGAGGTGCTCCTTAATCTCCGTCTTGTGCTGGAGGTCCAGCTTGGCGGCCACGTACTCCGACTCGGCCTTATCATACCGCTTCCTGCAAAATCAGCAGCATCATTTCTGGGGGGTTAGTTCTCAAAGCACTTTCAAATCCAACACACGGACAGATACTTTAAGCATCCAGGAAATGCAATGTGCTACGCCAGCTATGTCATGACATGCTGCTACATTAGTAAAAGGGAAGAAAATAAGTGTGAGTTGATCAAATCTTTTCCTCTTGACAGATTAGCCTCCACTTCTGCTGTATTCCAAGAGTTAATTTGCTCATGTGAAATCTACAGATTGAACCACGAACAAGCATGTTTACTGCCTGTTTCAACAGATGCATCACTAGCAGCAGAAAGAAACCAACAGAAATTGGAGTGTTTTCACACTTCCAGTGAACACCCATCTAGTGAACTGAAACAATGCAAAACGGGTTTGTGTTTTTTCTAATCCATCCAACAGATTAAAATGTTACAATGGTGCTATGCATATTTAAATCCGGATCTGGTCTAGAAGTTTGCTCTTCTGGCCACCCGTATGTATGTTCAGAAGACCATGAGCAGCACAGATTGACACAGCATATGAATGACATCAGTAGGGATCACAACTTTTGCGTGGCAACAGATGTAGAATTTTATTGTGAGCATCCCCCCGACACACACCTCCTGCCAATTTGCACTTCCTGTCATGACAAATAGAGCAAAAAGGAAACATTCAAAATATTTATTGAGGTTAACACATCTGGGATATCTAAGACTTCAACGGTTGGTGTCTACATTAGTGATGCATCTTCCACTACATTCAGTGAATCTGCATATCAATTCTGATTTAATTAATAGAAAGATAGATGCAATCTTGCTCATGAGGAAAGGGAACATGCAAAGACTTTTGCAGAATGACTACGCAATGTACCTTGCAGAGCGTTCGTAAAACTAATATTAGTAAGGTGGTTGAACAAAGAATTGGCTGTTTTATAAAGCCAGATTCAAATATCTGGTTAAACAAAGCAACAGAAAGATAGGAGAGATCCTTTGCTGAGCAAAACAGAAGGAAATAAGAAATAAAAAAGCCTCCCCAAATATGTTCTTTCATATAGTAAACACAAAACTTTGACCCAGCTGTAAAGGCTACGTCTGCAGTGGGCAGAAGATGCCCACTTACGTTTCCCTCACAAGAAAGTCAGGATTTCTCTGGGTCAGGTACCCGAAATGGAAAAACTAATGCTATGCTGGAAACTTCTGCGCAGTAAATCTTTGGGCTGAATTCACATATATTCTTCACATCATATTTACAAAAATTTCATTCCACAGCAACTGTCAAATGCCCGTAACTATGTATGTGCTCTGGACTACTTAATATTGCACCTTTTGACCCACTGAAATTATTTGTGTTTTAGCCTTAAAATATAGAGCAAGAATGAAAAAAGCGCTCAAAAAGACACCACTTCAAAGGAAATCAACTTTGGCTCATAATCCATAAAAACTACAACACTGAAAGTATCTAACTCACATTTTCAAATCCCTCTCTCATAAAAAGAAAGACTTAGTAAGTTCATGTAAGACATTAAGTATTTTGTAAAGTTCATCCCCTTTGTCCTACCAGCATCCCCTTTCATTATCTCCATTAAAAACTGCTTTCCAACCATCAGAGCCCCTTGTGTTATATGCTCTTTTGCCATTAAGCAGTTCAAATAGACACATTATTACAAAATTTTAGTAAGGAAATTTCCAGGAGCATTTAATGGTTTTAGAGACGAGACTCAAACCTAAAATAAACTGACATGTTTTTCCTCTTGAGGATACGAAATTCTGTATTCATTTGTACCCAGCTACTGAAACTACAGTTAATCTTAGATATTTCAAATGATAATTACGACAAAAGAAATCCTTATTTTTTAGCTACCACTGCTATTTTTTTAAAGACTAATTACCATGTTTATTGGCCTGTGGTCAACGTATAGCAGAAGTCATAAGGAGAAATACACGTTTAACACATTGAATCGTGAACCAAAAACCGCAACCGAACATTTCCATTTTATAATGGCTACATAAACATGCTGATGTTTATCTACTGATGTTGTGGTTTACCCACAACTAATAGGGTGTTCCGATTAATTTCTTGCATTTAAGGAACTCATCAGAACCAGAGTGATTAAAGGCACATTGTGAAGGGTGAAAGCTTGCTTTTTCCTTCAATTTTTGGTCCCAGTTCCAAAAGCACTTCAGCAGTATTATATGTTTTAAGCTTAATTGGTCCCATTGATTCCAACAGGACCAGAGCTGTCATCAACAAGCAAGTTTCCCTGAAAAGGACTTTCATTTTAGGACTTTTAAAAAAAACTCTTTCCCCCTGAGAAGAAATAAACAACCTTGAAACAATAAAGCAGGGCTTATGGACAACTGCACAGTTAAAGCAGTAAGTAGGTCTCGTGACAGCACGAAGCTGGAAAGCAGAGTCTGCAGGCAGAAAACCTGCTTGGGTTTCCAAATTCCAAGGGAAAAATTAGGAAATAAAAAGCACACTTTTACCTCAAGATTTGAAAGGCCCCCAGACTGTGACCGCTTTAACTACACCTTATTACAATGACATAATTCCGTTACTACTTTGGTGACAGGAAACAGTGTTTTCTCCCTCCACTGGGGCAGGGCTGTCCCCTCCTCCCTGCCTGTCGCTTACCGGGCATAGGAGTAGTCCAAGCTGGCCTGATCAATGCGGTTCCGCAGGATGCCAATGTCAGCAGACACCATGTCATCCAGAGCTTGCAACTCCTTCTGAATCCTTTTTAGCTTCACCGTTTCAGCTTGAGTTCTTTTGGATCTGCAAAAGGAAGATGGGTTTGTTGGTTTGTTTTTTTCCCCTTTTCAAGCCTCTCTTCTTGACATAACGGGCTCCCCTTCATTTGCAGAGCAACTAACTTCTTTAAGAGTTATTCAGAAGGTTTCTCCTTTATGGTTTAGGACTTTTGATCTTTTTTAATATCCACAGGGATGTAAAATGCCTGCTATTAAAGGACTACGGCAAAATTACGTAATGACTATAATCAAAGTGCCTAAAATGGATTGTGTTTCTTCACTGTGGAAACACACAAGAAGCTGCTGTATCTAAGTAGTTCTCGGTGTAAGGAAACAGGAAATGGCTTGGGGGGAGCAAGAGGGGGAAGGGTATTTAGGGCTGCAGATATCCCCTTTCAAAGAAGCCCAGTTAGTTAGGGGCCAAAAAGTCACCTAACCTAAGCTTGATTTCCATTTCGTAAAATTATTCCCAAGAGGCCTAGCCAAATCCCAATGAAGTCAATGGAAAGTTTTACCTCAAACACAAAGGATTTCAATCAAGCCTTATGTAACCTTTTTCAATTCAGCCTATTCATTCCTGAGTTCTGAAAACTAAATGTTGCTAAGGGCAGCAAGCTTTGATGGATTTCACTCACAAGCAAGCTAAGTAACTTCAAGAAGCTTTACACCAGGTCACTTTGCTGTCATTCATCTCCACCAGCAAAGCCACACTTTTCAGTCACTACTTTACACCCCAAAGCAGGTACTTGAAAGCAAGACTAGATGCGTAGGTAGTGACACCATCTCTCATTAAACCAGCTGATGCAGATGGTAAGAAACAGACACCCTGTAGTATTGCTTAGAGCCTGAAGAAGGCCTTTAGATGTCAGACATAACTCCCTAGCTATCACCTTCCAAATCCTCCTCTCCTAATGCTCTGCTTCCAGTAGGAAGAACCCAGTCTGGTGGTCACAACCATGTCTGCTGTCCTACAGTGGCTCAGAACAAATGTACTTATTTTTTATCTCTGCCTGGAAAAGGAAAACAAAATCTTCAGAACCTCAGAGAGAACCTTCTGCACAGTACTAGCTACGTTCACCAAAGAGCTTTGACAGGCAGAACACAATAGAAGTTTCAGAGACCACTGTGAGCCTGAAAGCTTCACACTGTCCTACAGTGGCTCAGAACAAATGTACTTGTTTTTTATCTCTGCCTGGTAAAGGAAAACAAAATCTTCAGAACCTCAAAGAGAACTTTCTGCACAGTGCTATCTACATTCAACTGTGCTACCAAAGAGCTTTGACGGGCAGAACACAATAGAAGTCTCGGAGACCACTGTGAGCCTGAAACCTTCACATCTCCTTCCTTGATCCAGTGTTACCAGCTGCTCCAACATCCTTCCCTACAAACATTGCCTTCTCAGTAGTCTCAAACTATCTCAGTGGACAAAGCTGTACAACGCCTTGAAGTCTGGTCATCCGAAGGGCAAGAGCTAACGACTGTGAGAACATGTGAATTTTTAAAATTCCTAATCATCCAGTGGTAAAATGCTACCTTCTTAAAGTTCAAATTGATCATTTTCTCAACACTTTTCACATACTAATAAGAAAGAGTCAAAAGCCCAAACAGAAATAGCTATAGTTTCCCTTCATAGGTTAGGAATCAAATAAACTTTCCTTAAATCCAGTGAAAACAAATCAGGAACAGAACAGGGATGAGTATATGAGTACCCCAACTTCCAAACATGCCCTTACTAACAGGCAGGAGGATTTCAGCTAATTCTCAAATTGTGTAATAACTTTTCCATCTGTGCACAGAGCTGCAGCTCTGGAAGCGTGAAAAGCTTAGTCACAACTTCTTAGCCAGCACTTGTCATCAAAGGGAAATGTCGATCACAGCTGCTCACTTGTGGAGCAGTAGAAACAGAGCAGAGAGGAGGAAAAAGTGAGGTTTAAACAGAAGATATGCAACTGGTTGCAGATGAAAACTAATCCCTTCCTCAGCCTCTGCCCATCATGCAGAATAGCCCCTTACCTCTCAGCAATAGCTTTGGCCAGGAGTGCCTTCTTGCGTTTATTCTTCTCTTCTATCAGCCGCTGCTCTTGCTGGAGGATTTCCCATCGTGATTTTTCCTGCCTGCCCATTGATAAGAAGATCAAAATTAACAGAAAGTTCATTTCTCTCCCTGTTCCCCAAATGACATAAATATTCACCATCATGTTTCCTGGAGTAAACTCTAAAAATGTCAAAGGAACAATAAACAGGTTTCAGTTCTGAGGAAAGAAGAATCATCTGCAAGAAGTCATTCAGACCAATAAAACATTTCCAGATGAAATCTGCTGATCAGAACAAAACTCTTCACAGGCAAGTAAGCTGCTGGTTAATTCAGCTTTGCTGGAATAAAGAGCATACAGCACTTTTTCAGAAATGGATGGAATTTTTCATTTAAAGGATGTGCTTCCCCACTAGGTAGAAGCAGTTTCAAGTTTCTTACTGGCTGCTACAAGTCGCCATCTGTTCAGTCTGCCAACACAGCCTCTTTTTTGGAAATGTTTTTTCCATAGAACAGATCCTTTCACAGGTCTGCTTTACAATACAGCCCCCAAATAATTAAACTGATACAAATGAAAGACCGGTAAAAGTTACAAAGAAAATGAGCAACGAGGAAGAACAAGAATTCACTTTTGCCACCGGGGAGTTATAAGGATTCCATTTCCTAAGCTGCACCTACTAAGAGATACAACAGCCCCAGAGGATGGAAGGCAAGGTCCCAGGTGAGTGGGGCCAATCTGCGTCAACTGGGCAGGATTAAGGAGAAACAAAAACTGCTTTGCTGCTTTATTACCCTGTTGTGTTCTTCATGCCCTCTCTCAAGACATATCAGCTTAGAAACAGCGTAGCTTAAAAATACCCAAGTGACTCAGCTATCTCAATCTTAACAACCATTTCTGGACAAGAATATCTCTTTAGACTTCTCCTCATCACCCCTAAAACGTCACATAGATAAGATTTAAATTCAAGTGCAACAGGCTGAGACGAATTCAGCAGATTCAGGGGGTGGTTGTTGCAGCTAAATGTCATGTGTGAAAAGCTTCTCTGCAAAACTTTAGCTACCTGCTCCCCAGTCAAATAGCTGCGGTATTTTTCACCACCAGGATGGAGCTGAACAGGCAGTACTACCAGTGAGCTGCACCCACACAAGGAATTTGGCACTGCTCTTCAAAGTGCTGCTGCTCTGGTGAAGGGACAGCTATTGGTAGGTAGGTGATCCCAGCCAGGAGCCAGGCAGGCAGCACGGCCAGAGCAGCTGCAGCCTCTCAAGGCGCATCTCTGCAAAACAGAACCTCCCAGATCCTTTGGAGTTTTGAGTTGGAGAGAAGCCACACGCTGCTTCTCCACACCAGTGATGCAGACTGCCATAGTCCTGCCTCTGCAGTGGAAAGTACCTTCAGCCCCCTGTGAGATCTTACAGATAGATCTAACCAGAGATAGGGTCTGGCACTCCACACTTGGAAAGCTGCTGATGCCTATTGTGGGTGAATACAAATGATGCGTGGAAGTTTGGTGGCCAGCTAGTGTTTTCTGATTATATTGGGCAGAAAAGATTGGACCTGCATAGGAACTCAAGGCTGGAAGAGCATTGTTATAGTGTTTTAAAAATAAACTATATGCCCTAGAAAAAGAATTAATCCTTTTGCCCCTCACACTTTGCTTTGCCCACTAAGGGAAAAAAAGAAAATTAGCACTTGGATACAGACAGAAAAACAAACGTGAAGAGCTAAAAGCAAGCAGTTTCTCATATTGGAGATGCCTGCCCTCTCCAGCATTTAGGCAGCAGCTTCCATTTATAGGCTACTGTCTGAATTCTAGGTGATGAACTAAGTAATTGCCACATTAAATCAGAGTCCCAGAGAGCCATGTTCAATACTTTTTCCTTTCTCTCTCTCTCTCGTGTCAGTTTGATGCTTCTGAGGGAGACAGGCACCCCACTGTGGGTTGACGCACGGGGGGAAAGCCTTGAGATTGATCTCATCTTGAATCATAAAAGCTAGAGAACTGCTTAAACCTGCAATTTTACCTCCCTACCAACACTTTTGGCATCAGCAAATCCGCAGCAATATTGTAAAGGGGAACACAAAGTTAAAGTGTACCTGCTTCCAAATGGGCTTTTTTTGTTGTGGCTGCTGGCTTGTCTACACAGCATGGTGGTGAGTTTAAGTCTTCATAAACCATTAATACAGTCCTACATCTTGGGTGCTTTATGGTGTCCCACTGCCACAGGAAATTATCTGAAGGCGGGACAGTGCATATCTGCATGGATTACACTACAGAATTTGATCTCAGATCAGAGGTGAAAAACAAAGGTTCAATGTAGTGGAAGCAAACATGATCTCTGAAAGCTTCATCTTAGATACAGAAAAGTACATTATACTTCACAACAAAAGAACAAATCAATCAAGAACAGAATAATAAAATCCATCCCCTGATTTTACCGACTTACTAACAATTCCACTTTCTTTTTCTCCACTTTGGAGTTTGGCTTTGCAGGGCGGGTCTGGGCACTGTCACTGCCATTACAGGACTCTACTGGTGTCACTTCCTTCTGCTGGTCTCGGTTGTCACTTTGGCTTTGATCTCCTGCTGAAGGAGGACGAGGTGGTGGCACAGGCTGCTGAGGTTGACAAGGCTTGTGCTTTGGTACAGAAAGCAACTGCTCAGGAGGAACAGAAGCTGCTCCACCCTGTAGTCCCAGCTTCTGACATTGCTGCTGGAGGGCTTTTTCTCTTTGCGTTTGCTTACGACTTTTATTCACAGTGTGGGGGCGATGCTGCTGCTCCGAGGGTTCATACAAATCTATCAATGGATGAGAGGGAGAAACAGGATTAAAACCAAATCCTAAGATCAAAGACAGGATCTGTGAATTACCTTTTCTTGGCAAAAAAACAAATTGGCACAAAACCAATCTAAGGAAAAGACATGCCAGTGTGTCAAGGGAAGGCAATGTGGGGGAAAACCCAGGAACCTGTAAATGTTTTGTTAGCCTAAGAATCAGGAGTTTTAAAGTATCTGAGCACCTGAAATGAGAGGGATGAATAAAGGGCTTGGACTGGGGGACTAAAGGAAGAACCTTAGGAAGGATTGGAGGCAATCCTTGGGGGAATCACAGAGAGGTGGGTGTAGGGCTAAAGAAGGGCCTCAGGCAGTCTGGCTAGGGGTTTATAAAGTGAAGAACGGAGAAGAAAAAGATGAAGGGTGGGCAAAGAGGAGACTAGGAACATAAGTGAGGTAGTGAACAGATAGATGTGGTGCAGGACAAGGAGCTGGAGAGTTTGGAAATGTGACAAAGAGGCTGAGGGTGGAGAAACAGAGAGAAGCTGATGGGAGGCTGAGAGGAGCAGTGAGAGATGGAACCTGGATGGAAGGGGCCAAGGGACTGGCCAGGGAAAACAATGGGCTGCCAGGCAAAGCTGAGGTGTTTGATGTGGGGATGGACTGGATGAGCTGCGGGGATGGATAGAAGCACAGACGTAAAGGGCTGAGAAGCTGAACAAGGAGGCCGAGGTTGACCGACGAGGGGATGAATATGAGGGCTGAAGGGCAGGAAGCCATGGGGGGGTGACAAGACTGAGGGGGTTACATAGATAGGCCGAGGTGGGCGAGTATGCTGAGGCGACGGAAAGAGGTGTCGATAGGGGAGCTGAGGGGACGGGGAGGCTGAGGGGAGGGAGGGAGAGAGGTGCGGCCGCAGGAGGTGACGGGGTGCCGAGGGCCCGGAGGCTCCTCCGCGCCTCCCCCAGTCCCGCTGCCCCCCGCTAACCGGCGCGGGCGCTGCGGCCGGTCCGGTCCCGAGCCCCGGCCCCCGCCAGAGCCCGGTGGCGGTCCGTACCTGGGCGCTGACACCGCAGGCGCCGTAGCTCCTCCTGCGAGAAGCCGGCCCAGGCATCGGCCATGGCGCTTCCTCCTTCCGCTGACGGGGCGCTGCGGAAGGCAGGGCCCGCGGCTGCCCCGCCACCGCCGCCCGCCCGCCTCAGGCGAACGCCGAGGACAGCCCCGGCCGGCGGCGCCGGGGTGGGGGCCTCGCGTCTCCATGGCAACGCGGCGAGGGCGGGGAAGATGGCGCCCTGAGGAGACGGGGAGGGCTAGGCCGCGGGCGGGGGGTCCTGAGCAGGAGAGAGCGGGGCCGGCCATCGGGGGGTCTGTGGGCAACGAAGGTGACAAGGCCCGGAGGCCCCCGGCTGCCGTTGACCGGCGGGGCGGTTCCTGGGCTCCCCAGCAGGCGGGCACTCCCAGCGCCCCGTCGGTGCGTCCGCCGGGCAGTCACGCCCGCGGCGCTCCCGGCACAGCACAGGGGCTCCGGGGAAAGCTGTCGGTGCAGCGGGGCTGCCGTGGGCTTGGGGCACGGCATGTGCAGCTCTGTGCGGGTGGGACGCTGCATCGGGTACATCCCCGGAGCTCCTGAGAGTGTAATGCCATAAAGAGCTCGGTGGGTCCCGGCCAATGAATCCCGGCCAATGAATCCCAGCTAATTAGGCATAAATGAAGAGGAGAAGCCGGTCCCAAATCAAGCAGGCTTCAAGGAGCATCACCACGACGCCCTGGTCATTTGTAATTTGTAATTAGGTAGTTAAAAGAGCAGGTGAGATGTTTGTTCATTGCATCTAGAACTACATTTGCAAGGGACACAGAGCACGTCTTTGGGGACCTGTATAGTAAGGGAGCTGTGAGGCAGGGACACCTGCACAGCTAGGTGCTGGTGTGCTTTAATAAGCTAGAGTGACACCACTGAGGAAATCGGCAAGGAAAAGTATTATTTTGGCCATACTAATGTTTCCGAAGGTCTGCTTTGATCATTGTGCAGGATGCAGACACATATTTCCATTCTTAGGTATGAACTGGAAAGATCCTGCAACATACAGCTATACTCTCTCCGCCATGAAAACAACCATTTTTTTTCCATCCAGCACAAACTCTTGTGGCCACTTTAAGCCCATCATCAGAGGTGTTGCAGCCGAGCTTACCTCCCACTGGGAGAAAGCTTTCTGGAACACAAGGGCACGAGCCCCAGGCTTAGCTAAAGCAGTCCAGGATACTGGAGGCTTAAATAATACATCATCGGCAATAAAACGGGGACGTTTTCAGTGCTTAACCACATCCCTCCCCGTTGCCAATCTGTAAGAGATTAGTCAAGCTCTGAAGTATTACTGTCTCCCAGAGCAAACTCATAACTCGATGACCATGTATGACTTTGCAATTTATCGCAGCAGCACTTTTAACAGCTCCTGCGTGACTAACGCATGCCATAAATACCATAAATACCCGGTCAGAGGAGAAGCGGTCCTGAGCTGCCACTCGCCTGCAAGCTTTAAGTGTTTCTGATCAGATTTGGCTGAGCGCCTTTGGGGAACAGAAGTGCCGCCATTTTTCACCCACGGCTTACCTGTAGGCCTTGATAGGAGTGGAGGTGTCACAGCCATGCAGCAGAGGACAAGCAGAGCATGGCTGTCTCAACTCTCTTGGTGCTGACCACGATGTCCTCTCTTGCTGGGCCTGGGGCTGAGGGATGCCAAGTGGCCTGTGAGACGGGATTATGGATTCCTCTGGGAAACCTGACCAAGCACAGAAGAGATCTGAATGAGAATCATAATCCGACCTTGACTCAAATGCTCTCAAACTCGAGGGAGTCCAGACAGCAGAACCAGGCATCAGCTTAAATTTTACAATGAATCAGCATTGGCCAACCCCACAACAAGGCGTAGGCATCCAATTCCTTTTCAGATGCCTGTATAGGAATCAATCTGCCCTGGTATCTTAATGGGCTGTACCAAACTCACAGATATCAACTGACTGTGCTTCATGAAGTACAAACACCAGATCTCATTCTTGAACCTTAGTTCTTTCTTATTTTCCAGGTCTTAATGCTACTAACAAAAACGAAGCACCATATTCACTTTATTGCCCCAGATATTCCAGGCATAAAACTTCCACGTGTTTTATAGAAAAAGTATAAAGACTTTTGAGTTGTTAACTATAACGCTATAGGCAAAAGCAGCAATCTGTTTTAACAGTTTCCATCAGCCAAAGGTTTAATTACCAGCCGTTGAGCCAGCTTTCTCAGGAACAATTATAATGCAGCGAAGTCATTTCGCGGGGCGTTTACCAACAGCAGATTTAGAAAATGGAGGCTGGCCCTGTTCTCGGGCTGATTGAAGTCCTGTGAGCATAACAGGGCACTGAACATTTGCCACCTAGGAATAAAGCATTTTTCAAGCAAATGTTGCTGCAATACAGGTGGGACAAGGCCAGATGAAAAGAAAATAGAAACATACTTTTCCATCCCCTGGAACAACGCAAACCTTTCTTTTAGATCTGGGAGCTGGATTTGACTCCCATATCTTTTTGTGCTTCAAGAGCTGGAGACACCTGTGACTGCTGCATCCATTTTCTGTTGGTCTACTTGGCCTGGAGTCTGCTGGCTCTAGAAGTGGCTAGCACCAACAGATGACAAAACCCATCCTTTCTTGCACACTTCCCAAATCAGTGTGGAAATGTCATCAATAGCTGGCAAATTGAACTCTCCAGGTCAGACCTCAGATGACATTTCAACCCAGGACAGATACAATTTGTACCAGGACATAATTTCAATTTGCATTGGTCTAGTTCCTACTGAAAACATTGGGGGTTTTTAAGAGCCAGAGAAGCTCTTCCAGCAAGGGGCTCCCTGACTTAGATGGGTATTTTCAACCTGATTCTACTCGCCACTCACCGCACTGTCACAGTAACAAACAAAGCAACATTTTCCCAGTGAAGGACGGAGCCCTAACGTGAGACAGGGAGAGACACGTATAGGGAAGGAGAGTTTCCTTACTGCTTGTGTTTCAGACCCTGTCATGAGTTCCTGAGGGAGGACTTTGACATATAATTCAAGAGGCCGAGGGAAAAAACCCTCCTGAAAGAAACCCAAAATTCCTAAACCTGTTAATTTCTCTTTCTAATGAAAAATCTATCAAATTGTATCCATGTCAATACTATCCCATCTTTTACCAGAGTGTAACGCAGGCTGGCTGAGGAAGAAACAGCGTGTCCAGCCAAGCCACGGCACTGGGTGAGCAAGGAGCAAGTCCTGCCTTTTGAGAATAACTCATTAATTTGTTCTTTAAAGGATGCTTTTGACATCCACACTCTGACAGGTTCTTTTGCTGATTCTCTGCTGAAGCGTCCAGGCAGCTTCCAAGCCTGAGATGAATAATTTAATTTCTTAACACGGCACTGAAAGCACGAGGGCACTTCAGGCATTGAGGCTGCAAACACCTGTGCACGGAGCTGTGACTTCTCTGCAGTTTTTGAAGGTAATCTGGTTTTGCCCATTTTCCAGCAGGCGTGGATTAGAGTCTGCCTCAAACCTTGTATGGATACTGGTCTCTGCGTGCAGTGGGGTTTTACACTGGTTAAACCCCTTGAGAGCTCTCCATTAGCAGACACCAGACACAGGAACCAAGGTGGAAATTAGCCTGGCTGAGCCTGGCCCCCAGGCCCAGATCCAAAGAAACACATGAGCTGGTCTTTAACCTCAGCCGTGTGCTAACGCCCCGTTCTTTAATTGGGCTTTACTGGGTGGATCCAGGGAAGTGCCAGGATACCTGGCACAGCACCAGCCTGCTCCTAACCGTGTGGCTCGAGGCTGTAGATGCATCAGGAGCCCAGAGCTCAGCCTGTGGCAGGCTGGGGCTCTGAGTGCAATGAGATAATACAACAGTGTGACAGCCCCTCGGCTCTGGAGGAGGCAAAGAGGGGGTGCTGCCTGCTTTATTCTGCCTCCTGGTGCTTTATTCTGCATATAAAACCCTCGCCAGCGATTCTAACACTGTGAGAACACAGCCCTAGCGCTGGCCTGCAGTTCCCCTCCGTACAGCAATGGGGATTTATGCAAAAATGCAGGTATATCTAATGGAAATAGTGTTTCCACTGTAAAATGAATTATTCGTGTTCTGGAGTGAGGTGAGAAAACAATTAAAAAATACAGCGTTACTCTGTCTCTCCAGTCTCTGTTCCCTTTAACTGCCTGGTAAGTAGGATTAAGTCAGCACTGTCATTTCTTGGACCAAGGCAGTCTTTTGGTTTGTAAGAACTTCTTAGAGGGAAACAAAAATCCACTTATCTAAAGAGCTAGGGTGAAAAAAATAACATTGGAAACCTGCTTTTTAAACCATATAAACCAATGGTTTCAGCATCGTTTGGTTTGTGGATGTCTATACATTTTCTAGCAAAGAGGCAAACTCTTCTGCAGCAAGTTCAAGGCTGTGACCTTGCTTCTTCTGAGTTACCTTTCACAGAGACCTTAGAAGTAATCTCCTGACCTCTGGCCTAAGATCATGGTTTGAAACCACAGCAATTTTACCTTAAACAGTGCAAATTTTGCTTTTCACATCCCAGTGCAGATAGGGCATGTCCCAGCAGGGCTCCTGGAAGATCTCTCTTCTCTCCTTGCAGGGATGCTGCGGGGTTGTCTGCGGCACCAGTGGGGCTGGAGCAAAGGAAAAAGCCCCAATAAAGCTGGAGACATGGCATACATATGAAGACACAGTGCAGGGCTACAGAAATCAGTACGATTTTTGCTGTAGACCCCAGCAGACTGCAAATTCCCCAGCCAGAGCTGCAGACACCACATTTTCCTTCCTGAGCGTGCCCGGGGTGGTCAGCAGCCAAACCAGGGCGACGGATGGTCCCAGGGGCTCCACACTGGGGCTGAACCCGCTCCTCTGCGCATCCTGAGCGGTGCTGGTGACAAGTGGAGCTGAGTGGGGAGAGCAGCCTGTTTTTCCAGCACACTTCTCGTTACAGTGATGTGTTTGCCTTGAAACCTGGCCTCAAAACTTTTAAGCCTCTCCTCTCCTCTGTTTTCTTGTTTCGACTTTTGAATTTTCCCCTTAAGTTCAGCTTCCAGAAAATAAATCTGAACTGAAAGGGAGCTCATCATACAATACGAATGTTCTCTTTAAAAAAAA